ATGGATAAAAAAAATATGATTTCGCTGGCCAGTTGAACACACAAACATTGATGCACCTGCAGGATAATATCAGATCTATGTGCAAGAATGACAAAAAGAAAATGGATAAAGATGGGTTTGAAGACATTGATTTCTGGATGTCTTTGGCTGAAAAGAGACGGAAAGTGAAAGAAAAAAAGGGTGTAGAGAAAGTGGAAAAAGGGAACGTTTCAGTGCGTTTGACCGTGAGAAGAATGAGGGAAACGTTATGTTTCACAGGAGAGAGGATGATGAATCGGGTCCGGTAGGTATACAGATAGGAGGAAAACAGAAAGTCGAGAGAGAGAATGCGTTTGAGATGACATCCACAGATACTGTTACGCCATCATTATATCCGCCTATTCCAACATCTTCTCCTTTTCCACCATCCCCTCCACCCTCTTACAGAGGGGGCCGTCCAATGGCCACCAGGGGAAGGGGGGATTTGGAAGTGGAGTTTTCAAGAAATTGGGGAAGTGTTTTTTCCCCTGTTGCGACAAAGGTTGACTCATCTGGAAGCGGAGTACGAGACGCTTTTCCCATGGTTGAGGTTGCAAATCCAAACATAAATGATGAGTCGCCTGTCATTCTTGTTTATAGAACATGGACACAAGAGGATGTTAAGAAAGCCGTAGATGGCATTACATCCCATAAAATTGATGTGATACAATTTGTCCATGAAATGGAGGATCTGCGGAGATCATATCATCTAAATGGGGCTGAGGTGCAACAAGTTTGGATGGCGGCTTTGCGGGGTGATTGGCATAGTGTAAGAGGAGATTGGGACCCCAAGCAGGGGGGCATGATGCTTCCTCATGACAGCAGTGAATTGACAAATAGGGTTCGAGATTTGGCCGGACGCATGCAAGATAGATATAAGCAGAGAGCAAATTATACTACCATCAGTAGGGCAAAACAGAAAGATAGCGAATCTTTTAAGGATTATCGAACCAGAATGACTGCCTGCTTTAAGGCCAACAGTGGCATTCTTGAAGACCACACTCCAGGCAGTGTGTATCAAGAGCAGTTGAAAAATGTTCTACACGCCCACTCTGATAGTTCCATTAGACAATGGATTGATAAACACTGGGTTGACAAACCGACTGGTAGTCTTGAGCAGTATATTAACCAGGCGCTGCATGCAGAGAGGATTTTGCAAGCAAAAAATAAGAGATCCGACAGCTTCCTTATGGGAAACGAAATGATGTACAAAGAGCGTGGCCGTGGGGCTGACAACAGGGGCCGCCATCGGAGCAGAGGAATGTCAAAAGTGAGACGAGAGACAGGTCCAAGGGAGGTGGTTTGTTGGTGTTGTGGAGAGAAAGGACACATTTCCCGTGACTGTCCTAAGAATAAAATTGTGAGTGCATGACTAGGCATGCCTGCGTCTCAGCAAGAGATAACAACTTATGACGCAGATGAAGAGTTGGAAGTTGCACTAAATTTGCAAGAGATCTTGGCGCTAGATTCTATTCACCCTGAAGTAACATTAATGGTTAATGGTAAAGAAATTACAATTTTGTGTGATTCCGGAGCCTGTCAGACAGCTTGCAGGGACTCTTTTCCTGGTGCCACCATACACAGACAGAGGTTTGTTAGATCAGCAAGTGGCCTGTTCACGGTAGCTTTGGAGACTGACCCAGTGTGGATCAGAGATCCACAGGGGGAGACTTGTAAAATGTCTGTGTTATTAATGCCTCAGTGCCCTATTAATTTACTGGGGAGAGATGGCTTACTTATGCTGGGATTATCTTTAGTCCCGTCACCGGCAGGTAACATAGAAATCAAAAGGCGACATGAAATAAAGATGGCTAACATAAATGTGATAAAAGGCAGATTTCCTGTCTTTGTGTATTACACATTGGACTTACCGAATAAGTTACACTCACAAACTTGCGATAAACTTTTGTCAGAGGGTCTCCTGCACATTGACACGCAGGAAGAGAAAATGGAATGTGATTCCTTGCACATTGTATTGTGGCGTAAGCGCACAGAGGGTCACAACTCAGAATATGAAAGAGCGCTAAATCGATTTACACCTGCTAAAGTAACAATTGACTATTTGTATTTTGATGGGATTGCAACTGTAGCTGCAGGGGTACGGCTCTCAGCACGGTTGCAATCACTCTACAAGGAATGGTATGTTCCCCATATTTCTTTGCACAAGACATATGGGGTGGAGTGGTCCAGCATGGGACCCTTCGTCCAGAAAGGGCAAGTGATGTCTGATTGGAGGCCAGATGGGAAAGGATTGGAGTATAGTGCAACAGCTGAGGTGTACAGAAAACCACTATTTTGGACTGTTCAGGTCCAGGAAGGTATACACCTGTATTGATTTGAGAATGATCTTCCTCATTTGCTCCTAACCGCAGGGGAAGAAGAGTTTTTGCATAAAGTACCGGATTGTTTATGGTCTACCAGTCCTTCGGATGTTGGGTTGATAAAAGGAGCACTCCCTGTTCAGATAAGACTGAAAACCGAATATAGGCCTTGTGTGAGGCAATGCCCTTTAAAATCAGATGCACGTGAGGGAATCAAACCAGTCATTAGTGATTTGATTAAGGCAGGAGTAATAGTGGAGTGTAACGATTCACCGTGTAATACACCCATATTTCCTGTTAAGAAAGCACCTCCCTCCGTGGGGTGGCGATTGGTTCTTGATTTGCAGGCGGTGAATTCAGCTGTAATTCAAAGAGCACCTTGTGTACCAGACCCACACACACTTTTGAATAGTTTAGATCCTGAAGCAATGGTGTTTACTGTGGTAGATGTTAGTAATGCATTCTTTTCTATACCGGTTGATATAGGTAGTCAATTTTGGTTTGCGTTCACATTTGAAAGTAAAAAATATACTTTTACGCGTTTACCTCAGGGATATTGTGAAAGCCCAACGATTTACTCTCAGATGATGACAGCTAGCATGTCGAAGTTTATTCCTCCTGGAGGGAGCCAAATATTGGTCTATGTGGATGATGTTTTAGTTGCCTCACCTAATCTAGACACTTGCAAGACAGACACCACTGCGTTATTGAATCATTTGGCTCAAGAGGGTCACAAGGTTAGTAAAAACAAACTGCAGTTGTGTAAAGAACAAGTAAAATATTTGGGACACAGTCTCAGTAAATCGGGTCGAACTATTTTGGAGAGTAGGAAAGCAACTGTTTTGCAAGCACCGAAACCGTTGACAAAGAAACAAATGATGTCCTTTTTAGGATTGACTAATTATTGTAGGGGATGGATTCCAAATTATGCAGAAATAATCGCTCCTCTATCTAAATTGATGTATGAAAAGAACCTAAAAATGACATCATTGCTACATTGGACAACAGAGGCAGAAAACGCTTTCTGTGAAATTAAACAAATGCTAACGTCGAGTTTAGTTTTAGCGTTACCAGACTACTCAAGACCATTCATTCAGATGGTTGACTGTCGAGATGTGTACATGACATCCGTTTTATCTTAAAAACATGGAGATAAGCTAAGACCAATCGCTTACTTCTCAAGTCGGTTAGACAATGCGGCTTGTGCACTTCCCCACTGTGTCAGAGCTGTGATTGCGGCATCTATGGCAGTAATTTGTAGTTCTCATATTGTGCTATTTCACACACTAATTCTAAAAGTTCCACATGCAGTTGCTGCCCTGCTTCTGCAGACAAACATGACTTTTTTATCCCCAGCAAGACATTTGTCTTGTATGGCGATATTGCTGTCTCAACCGCACCTCACCTTGGAGAGGTGCACGACTTTAAATCCAGCCACACTGATGCCACTTCCTGAGGATGGTGATCGACATGATTGTCAGGAACTGGCAGAACAAACAACAAAATGTAGGCCTGATTTGGATGATCAGCCACGACAAACGGGAGAAGTCATTTTTGTTGATGGGTCATCGAAAAAAAATAATTTTGGAAAAACGCAGACGGGATATGCTGTGGTAACTGTAGACAAAATATTAAAGGCCGAACCTTTACCACCACATTACTCGGCTCAAGCTGCGGAACTGGTAGCGTTAACTGAAGCATGCAAAATGATGACAAATAAGAGTGTTACGGTTTATACAGACAGTCAGTATGCATTTTCTACGTGTCATGTATTTGCACAATACTGGAAGAATAGGGGAATGATAATTTCTACAGGGAAACCCGTCACACATGCGGAACTTCTATCGAATTTGCTGAATGCTGTTCAGTTACCACAGCAGATCGCAATATGTAAGTGCGCGGCGCATTCCACGGGAATTGATTACATCACTCTTGGGAATGCTTTTGCAGACAAAGCAGCGAAAGATGCCGCCTCTAGACCCTTTTTGGCAATTGCTGATTGTAAGCAACAAGATAATATTCTGCAAAGTGATATCTTATTTGATATGCAACAACAAAGTCCAACCAATGAACAGAAAATGTGGGAGAAGAAGGGAGCTACGTTGCAAGATAGGATTTATGTCAGCACTGACAAAAAACCTATTTTGCCAAAAAACCTTTTTAAGTGGGCTGCAGTATTAAGTCATGGGTCATCACATGTTTCGGCAAGAGCAATGGTGTCTCTGGTTGAGAAACATTTCACAACCTATGGGTTTAACCTATATTCAACTACCTTTTGTAGGGCCTGCCTAATTTGCGCTCAACATAATTCTCAGGGGAATTTGCGTCCGAGAAGGGGTCGGTTTCCTAAGGCTACATATCCATTTCAGAGGTTACATATGGATTTCATTGAATTGAACAAAAGTGAAGCGAAGCGATATTGCCTGGTCATTATTGATGCTTTTTCGAAATGGTCGAAATTTTCCCAACAAAACACCCGGATGCTTTAACGGTAGCTAAAGCTTTGTGTAAGGATATTATACCTCGATATGGTATCCCAGAAACCATCTACAGCGATAATGGTACGCATTTCGTGAACAAAATCATTGATAAAATAGGGCAATTGTTTCACATAAATCTGAGACACCATTGTTCCTACCATCCGCAGTCTGCAGGATTGGTAGAGAGGATGAATTCTACGATTAAAAACAGGTTAAAGAAATGCATGAATGAAACCCACAGACCGTGGACACAATGTATAGATTTGGTTAAATTATATATAAATATTACTGGTATGGCGTCTCCGTCGCCATTTGAAATATTGTTTGGGAGACCGTACAAATTACCGATGTTTTCTACTCAATGGGAATTGGATAATGAGGCTAATTTGGCTGATTATATGAGAAAGACTTTAGAAAAGAGACGTGAATTGAGATTGCCGGAGGGCGATTGTGCTTCTTCTCAGCAGGACGGCCTGGTTGTTCCGGGGGACTGGGTGCTGATTCGAAGCATCAAAAGGAAACATTGGGACTCTCCAAAGTGGGAGGGCCCTCACCAGGTGTTGCTGTCCACGCCGACTGCCGTGCGGATTGCAGAAAGGGGAACTTGGATTCATCTTTCGCATTTTAAGAACGTCATCTCGATAGAAACATCCATCGGGGAAGGTGAGCAAGACCGGTGACGCGGTGGGAGCAGTATTTTAGTTACTGAAAACATCAAACGGCCGGCAGAAGATTTTTCAAGACACCTCTCTCTCGATGGATAAAAAAAATATGATTTCGCTGGCCAGTTGAACACACAAACATTGATGCACCTGCAGGATAATATCAGATCTATGTGCAAGAATGACAAAAAGAAAATGGATAAAGATGGGTTTGAAGACATTGATTTCTGGATGTCTTTGGCTGAAAAGAGACGGAAAGTGAAAGAAAAAAAGGGTGTAGAGAAAGTGGAAAAAGGGAACGTTTCAGTGCGTTTGACCGTGAGAAGAATGAGGGAAACGTTATGTTTCACAGGAGAGAGGATGATGAATCGGGTCCGGTAGGTATACAGATAGGAGGAAAACAGAAAGTCGAGAGAGAGAATGCGTTTGAGATGACATCCACAGATACTGTTACGCCATCATTATATCCGCCTATTCCAACATCTTCTCCTTTTCCACCATCCCCTCCACCCTCTTACAGAGGGGGCCGTCCAATGGCCACCAGGGGAAGGGGGGATTTGGAAGTGGAGTTTTCAAGAAATTGGGGAAGTGTTTTTTCCCCTGTTGCGACAAAGGTTGACTCATCTGGAAGCGGAGTACGAGACGCTTTTCCCATGGTTGAGGTTGCAAATCCAAACATAAATGATGAGTCGCCTGTCATTCTTGTTTATAGAACATGGACACAAGAGGATGTTAAGAAAGCCGTAGATGGCATTACATCCCATAAAATTGATGTGATACAATTTGTCCATGAAATGGAGGATCTGCGGAGATCATATCATCTAAATGGGGCTGAGGTGCAACAAGTTTGGATGGCGGCTTTGCGGGGTGATTGGCATAGTGTAAGAGGAGATTGGGACCCCAAGCAGGGGGGCATGATGCTTCCTCATGACAGCAGTGAATTGACAAATAGGGTTCGAGATTTGGCCGGACGCATGCAAGATAGATATAAGCAGAGAGCAAATTATACTACCATCAGTAGGGCAAAACAGAAAGATAGCGAATCTTTTGAGGATTATCGAACCAGAATGACTGCCTGCTTTAAGGCCAACAGTGGCATTCTTGAAGACCACACTCCAGGCAGTGTGTATCAAGAGCAGTTGAAAAATGTTCTACACGCCCACTCTGATAGTTCCATTAGACAATGGATTGATAAACACTGGGTTGACAAACCGACTGGTAGTCTTGAGCAGTATATTAACCAGGCGCTGCATGCAGAGAGGATTTTGCAAGCAAAAAATAAGAGATCCGACAGCTTCCTTATGGGAAACGAAATGATGTACAAAGAGCGTGGCCGTGGGGCTGACAACAGGGGCCGCCATCGGAGCAGAGGAATGTCAAAAGTGAGACGAGAGACAGGTCCAAGGGAGGTGGTTTGTTGGTGTTGTGGAGAGAAAGGACACATTTCCCGTGACTGTCCTAAGAATAAAATTGTGAGTGCATGACTAGGCATGCCTGCGTCTCAGCAAGAGATAACAACTTATGACGCAGATGAAGAGTTGGAAGTTGCACTAAATTTGCAAGAGATCTTGGCGCTAGATTCTATTCACCCTGAAGTAACATTAATGGTTAATGGTAAAGAAATTACATTTTTGTGTGATTCCGGAGCCTGTCAGACAGCTTGCAGGGACTCTTTTCCTGGTGCCACCATACACAGACAGAGGTTTGTTAGATCAGCAAGTGGCCTGTTCACGGTAGCTTTGGAGACTGACCCAGTGTGGATCAGAGATCCACAGGGGGAGACTTGTAAAATGTCTGTGTTATTAATGCCTCAGTGCCCTATTAATTTACTGGGGAGAGATGGCTTACTTATGCTGGGATTATCTTTAGTCCCGTCACCGGCAGGTAACATAGAAATCAAAAGGCGACATGAAATAAAGATGGCTAACATAAATGTGATAAAAGGCAGATTTCCTGTCTTTGTGTATTACACATTGGACTTACCGAATAAGTTACACTCACAAACTTGCGATAAACTTTTGTCAGAGGGTCTCCTGCACATTGACACGCAGGAAGAGAAAATGGAATGTGATTCCTTGCACATTGTATTGTGGCGTAAGCGCACAGAGGGTCACAACTCAGAATATGAAAGAGCGCTAAATCGATTTACACCTGCTAAAGTAACAATTGACTATTTGTATTTTGATGGGATTGCAACTGTAGCTGCAGGGGTACGGCTCTCAGCACGGTTGCAATCACTCTACAAGGAATGGTATGTTCCCCATATTTCTTTGCACAAGACATATGGGGTGGAGTGGTCCAGCATGGGACCCTTCGTCCAGAAAGGGCAAGTGATGTCTGATTGGAGGCCAGATGGGAAAGGATTGGAGTATAGTGCAACAGCTGAGGTGTACAGAAAACCACTATTTTGGACTGTTCAGGTCCAGGAAGGTATACACCTGTATTGATTTGAGAATGATCTTCCTCATTTGCTCCTAACCGCAGGGGAAGAAGAGTTTTTGCATAAAGTACCGGATTGTTTATGGTCTACCAGTCCTTCGGATGTTGGGTTGATAAAAGGAGCACTCCCTGTTCAGATAAGACTGAAAACCGAATATAGGCCTTGTGTGAGGCAATGCCCTTTAAAATCAGATGCACGTGAGGGAATCAAACCAGTCATTAGTGATTTGATTAAGGCAGGAGTAATAGTGGAGTGTAACGATTCACCGTGTAATACACCCATATTTCCTGTTAAGAAAGCACCTCCCTCCGTGGGGTGGCGATTGGTTCTTGATTTGCAGGCGGTGAATTCAGCTGTAATTCAAAGAGCACCTTGTGTACCAGACCCACACACACTTTTGAATAGTTTAGATCCTGAAGCAATGGTGTTTACTGTGGTAGATGTTAGTAATGCATTCTTTTCTATACCGGTTGATATAGGTAGTCAATTTTGGTTTGCGTTCACATTTGAAAGTAAAAAATAT